ACTAGTATATAAAAATAAGAGCAAACCCCACTCCCTATTAACACTGATAACGTTACTTAATTGGGTAATGCAACGTCTGTAAGGAAATCACCAAACTAGGAGAGCACGAAGGACCCCACAGTTCAACCCTGAGCTACAAATATTCCCTTCAGTATGTCAGTATGGGAAGAATCAAGCTATCCTGGGACTGGGTTAGCCAGATTTCAGCACATACATTATTGCTTCTCTGTCAGACAGGCTGTCAGAGAAGCTAGTGGTGTTCTGCAAGGTAACCCTGTTGTGTGAAATAGCCGAAGGGTTTTAACACACGCCAATGGACAGAAACCTCAAGGAAGCCGAGAAGAAAAATGGTAAAACTGTCCGAAGTTGCTTTCGATAGCGAGATGGACCGCATATAAATTCAATAAATGAATAAATAAATAAAAATCGCCCATGGCTGTGACACTATGCAGCTAAGGCCCTCTATTTATATTGGATGGCGGCTGGCATTTGAACCAAGGTAAGAGTGTCTGTGCAGGAGCTGAATACAAAAACACACGGCCCGCCGAAAGCCAACTTCCAAGCAACGACGTCCTCTCGCCCTGAGGCTAAAACCTCCCTTCTTCCTGACGTCAATAATCCTGCCTGCCACGTGTTCGCAAAAGAGGCCTCAACGTCCCTCCCTCGTCCTCCATTGATTGGCTAGATTACAGCATTCTCTTCGACCTTTGGAGAAGAAGGCAGCGGAAGGGATTGGCTGAGATGTGTATTGTCGTTTCTCTTCATTGGCCAAACGTATCTTCTCAGGAGCCGAGTATGAATGGCCGGAGGTCGGTTTGAGGAGGGAAGGTGAGACCTCCCCGAGCTCGATAACCCTGGCGGATCTTCGAAAGCTTTGGAGGAGGCGGCGACGCCAGGTCCGTGAGTGCCTGGAGAGCTTGAAGGTCTCGGCTTCAGCCTCGGTCGCCGTTCTGGATGGGATGGAGAAGGGAGGGGAGAAAGGTGATTCCTTATGGCGGTTCAAAAGACGTTCGAAGATTTTCTAGCAATAATTCAGACAAATCCCCTTTGTCTGCTGAAATGCTTGTGTTAGTTAGGAGGCATTCTGCTGCTGCGTATCTTCAAAGAATCCAAAGTGATCGGGTGGGGTGGGGTTCTCTGGAACGAGGGACTTGCCCTATATTACTCAGTGGATTTAACGACTCGCAGGGAGTACTCCTTATATAATATTAATGGTAGCTGACAATTGCGAATATCGGAGAGAATTTAGCTGAGGCCCATTCGATTGAGAGGCTACCCGTTAGTGTGCATTTCAAACCTAGGTCTCTGCAATTCAGGACCCTTCTAAATACTGGCGTCCTCAAACTCCCATAGGGTAGAATAAATGACTGTGTTCGGTATTGTATTGTAAAAGGATGCGCTTTTACCATCGTGAGAACGGAGACATTAGTACCAATAAAGGAGAATATGGTAGCTCAGGGATGAAATGAGGGGTCTTGGTGCTCTCTGAGCTTGTTTTCTCGCAGATGTTTTATTACCCTACATAACCAGGTAACATCAGTGCTAGAAAGCCTCCTTACTCACACTGTTGATGTTCCGTAGTTAGGGTAATGAACTATCTGCAAGAAAACAAGCAAGCTCAGAAAGGACCCCCCTGAGATATTAGTGTTAGCCCTCTTACTCCCCCCCTTTCAGTCAGATTGGCGGATTAATCGATGTGGTTTATTGACATTATCTGCCAGTTTAGCAAATATGACTCCAGTTCAAATTGCTGCTGGTCCATCATGTGTGTTGCCCACTTATGTACTTTTTTGGGCATCTGGATCAGTAGGGTTTTCCAAGGAAATTGTAGCTGTTATTACTAGGCTTTGCCAAACACAGGGCATGTCAGAACCTGAAAGGGAAAAAATGTCCTGTTGTTGAGAAAACTTCCCATCCCAAATAGATCCACCCTGGTACTCATACCAGTTTGGGTGGAATAACCTGGAGCTCATATTTCCTGCTAACTGAGTAAATGTGCAAGTCCTGACTTGACTATGCATAGTCTATCTTCTACTATATGTGAATTACCATACAGTTTTCACATTAAGCTGTGACATCTGAATAATGGCAGTGCCTTAAGTCAATGAAAAGCTCCGAGTTAACATTCTTGAAATATTGCATAACTGAATAACCACAATGGTAGAGAAAGGAGTCTGTAATGGATATTTTAATTTGCATTCTTGCACAGAGCAGAGAGTTAAGACTTCATGATTTAAATGATTTTCTCTGTTCTGAGGAATCATCTTCTGGGAGGAATTAGGATGAACTGTGTTATAAGGAAACTTAGTCCTAACCTGTGCTCCCAAAATGTTAGGTATTCAGATTAAGGCTATTAAACATCTATGCATGTTTCCACTTCGACCCAGGTTATGATAGGAAAGAGGAACTGCTGTCAGGACCAGTTAACCAATCTGCTTTTTCCTGGTTTCATTTTTTCTACAGAACCACCATTAGCTACAATATGGAGAGATCCTAGCACCATGGGAACTCCAGCCTCTATTACCTGTGACTTGCCACAGAATCCAATCACGAAATCATGTACTAGAAAGAGAGCATCTGCCAATATTTTCCAGGGGGTGGGGTTACTGCAGTTACGTCGTCTCTTCCGTAGCAGTGGGGATATGCAAGCAGAAGAACGAGCCCAGCTAATTTGGGAGCGTGCAGAAAGCCAATGCATTACTCGGGCCTTACAACAGCTCCACAGAAGGCAGAGGAAGCTGAAGCTGCGAGCCAATAGGAGGCCTCTATCTGGAAAGGGCAGTAGTACCAGGCTGCTAGAGCTACAGCACTTTAGTCACTTACGGTATGATTTTGAAATTTGTTTTTATACTGCTTTTTAATTTTACTTAGATTGCTGGTACTGGAAGCAGAATTTGTAGACTCTATCCCCTCCCCCAGCAACTTCTTCCGTTGCTTTCAACTAAGAGTAGGAACATATTTTTATTCCGATTCACAATTGGTTAATGTACTGTATCTTTAGGAAGGAAGGTAAGGATTTATTTAGCTTGGGGTTTTTTCATTGAAATCTTCTTCATGGTTTTCTGGCATGTATTTAGAAAGTAAAACCCTTAGTTAGCTGCTGCACCATTTAATTGTGAACTGTGAACTATTCAACTCTAATATTTCTAATACAATTGGTATTGTGTTAAGTATTAAACAGTAATAAAAGGATGTATTGGGAAGAGTTTCTTTAATAGGTGTCCAATCTTGAAGCGCCTTTTGTTAAATTCTATTCATGGATATTACAATAGTAACCAAATTGATCTGTAGAGATTCTCAGTCATCCAGGTCCTGCTTGTTGCAAATATGTTTTTTCAGTAGGCAACTGGACTTTCTTGTTTTTTCTTTTGAAGACATTTCGCTTCTCATCCAAGAAGCTTCTTCAGCTCTGACAGGACAGTGGGGAATGGAACCATTCTGAAAATCTCCTGAAAAAGCACCTTTGGGATAACCAATTTGATGTAGAATAGATTTTTATAGGCCTTTCAGAAAGGGAAAACAGATTTTAGCTCATATAGCTGAATGAGGTGAATGATTTACAATATTACAGATCAGAAGAAACAAAGTTATAGGAAACTGCAGTGAGGGAGAAGATGAAATGATAAAATGTGTCATGATATTTCAACATAATCTCTACCTTTTGGAAGTGATGTGCAATTATCTAAGGGGCAGAGCTTGAATCATAACAAGAAACATTTCATTTTTTTCCTCATTTTGTTGCCATCTGGACCTGCTAGAGGCAACCCTGAGCAAATTCTTTCTTCCCCCTTCCTATTGTTAGGGGTTGTTAAAGCACAAAATATATTCATCATAGCTAAACAAAATGCTGTAAATCAACAGTAAGCTGACATGGTGAGATTATTTGGATTTCATTTTCCATCAAATCTAGCCCCCATGATCCATGGCAAATTATGGATGTAGTCTAAAACATCTGGAGAATATAAGTGTTATTCTGCTAACATAGCAAGAGGATATTGAGTTTAAGAGCAGCCATATATATATGTGTGTGTGTGTGTGTGTGTGTGTGTATGTATGTATATATATATTTGTTACATTAGCAAAGCAGCATCACAATGGTTTGCTCCCTATTCCTTATCTTGATCGTCTGCTTCTAAGAAAAAAGGAGTATAATGTAATTCTTAATGAGACTTTTGTTGACCCACAGGATTGAAGACTGTAATACATCTGCTGCTGCTGTTGATGATGACAGTAGGAAGAAAAAGATAGAGGCAGCAGATGGAAGTGGCCACTACACTGCTTCCCAATATAGGAAGAAGGAAAAAGAGATGGGCATGGCTACATGCACAATGAAAAATGATTGTGATTTTATGCCGATGGTTGTGGCCCAGTGTAATCAGACTAGCCTGGAGAAGCCTCAAAGGGTCTGACAAATGATTGCAGGTAACTGCAGAAATTATTTTGCTCTCAAGCACTTTGGTTTGCTAATTTAGACTCGATCAGTTTATGTCAAAGCACAAACACTATGTATGTTGATTATTTATGGTATATATTTAATAAAGCTTCCTGTCTAAAAACCTCTCTGAACGTAAGAGTCCAAATGTCTCTCTAGTCCAGAACTGCTTTCTCCTAACAGATCTTTGGGAAATTTCAAAATGCAGAAGAAATTTTTTTCCTTATTATTCCATATGCAAACTTACCACTATCCAGAGGTGATGTACATAAACACTTAGTTAATAACTGCTTCTATATTTATCTTCCATTCACCAAATCTACTTTTACAAATTGTTTGAGAGAAACCAAAAATGTAGGAAGCCACATCCCCTCACATGACCAGCTTCAATAGTTTTTGCCCAGTGGCGTGCCAGAGAAAGTGTTGCCCTACCAAAGGTCTGGATTCATTTCTTACAGATGCCATATGAAAATACACCAAGGGCTACATCGATTTTAGAACTGCAGGCTGCTTACCTTTGCCTTAAACAATATCGAATTGGCAAGGTTTATTTAAATAAAAGGTTTTAGTGAGTACAGCAAGTTCTGAACATGTTTGCTAATCCATTGAAGTTAGAACTAAATGTTTTCTCACTGCCACAAATGCATACAAATACTCTAAAGGCAAGTACCTTTTCCCCACAATTGCAGAAAAAGTCTGAGAAGCGCTGGCCTACAACAGGGGTGTCAAAGGTTGTCACAGTGGTGTCATGTGATGTACTGGGACTTTTCTGCCCTTTGCTAAACTGGGCGCAGGTGCGGCCAGCATGTGACGTACCTTGCCCACGGGCCGCGAATTTGACAGCACTGGCTTAGACATGTGAATCAGTTATAAGCAGCTGCAGGACAGCATGATACACATAGCTGCTTTTTCATTTCATGGATCTGATTGACAGCCACCAAGAAACAATCATGTCATATTGCCATTCAAACACTGATAGGAAGGTCTGACTTTCAAAGGGCAAAAAGTTACATTACTACTTACTTTACCTCTACAACCCTTTCTGAACATTACTAAATAATCAACGTTTGAAAATGTGTCAAGGCCAAATTAAACAGCAGCACAGGAAAAAATAAGGCACAACAGTTTCTAGGAGACAATACACAATTTTGTATCTCACTAAGCCTAAACGTAATGGTTTTCCCTACAACGCTGGAATATAATCCTGTAAATCCACTCCATATTTAATATTGAATTTGAAAAATTGATTTTCAGTCCCTGCACACATGCAATGCTATCAGCACAGAACATGTAATAATTAGGTATCCATTCTAATCAGGGGCAGCAATGATAAATTATTAAAATACAGGGATAGGAGGCAATTTATCCATGTTGTAGCAGCTCCAACATAAACCAGGTCCTGCAAACATATTTTACAAATAAAACAAGAACAATAAGGAGGGACTTTTTGACAATGCAGGTATTGTAGACTACAATAATCTGTGGTAAATAAAAGTCAGTCATGTCAAGGCACAATTGCAGCTCTACTGCATGGTGTGAGGCTAGTGAAGGGGGAAGATCCAGTTCTTATTAACTCCAGAAGACAAACACACACAAGAGACTGACTCTGTAACAGCAGATCTGTTATGAAGAGATTTGCATTGATTTAAATATATTACATACATTTCTATAGTGCATAAGAACAATACATTTCAGTTCGGACTGGCAAAAATTTAAAGTATTTCCAAGTGCCAGCTTCTGCCTGCCACTTCTAACAAAATGCAAGAAGCTGTCTCTTGAGCCAGCAACACCAGAGAAAAAGAGGTCCTACATTCAGCATATCAGGACTTTGTTTAAAAGAGACAGGAAGCTAAAATTAGTAAAAAGTCTCTTCTTGAAGGTCTGGGAAGCAGCCAAGTAGCCAACTGGGAAACTTATATAGAAAATTTCAAATAAGTTCTTGTTGCCAGTTTAGTACAGTAGCCTATGAGAAGCAACAATCATTGAATCATCCCACTGTACATAGAACATCATCTTGATACGGTAGAAATTCTACCTTCCTCTTACAATTCTCTACAGCCTGTAGAGGACATCTCCCTATGTCAGCATCCCACACAGAATTTCCCTCCCTACTTCCCTCCCCCCCTACAGATTGTCAATGCTCAAACCAGCCCAATGGAATTCCCACTCTGTAGGACAATGCATACCATTGCTTCTGGAATAACTTCTCTTCTCCTAAATCAGCCAGCATTTCTAGAGATGAGAGACAGCTATTGCTTACCCTTGGGAATACAGTAAATGTGTCTGAAATGCTAACCCAAGGTAATAGTGGTAGATATATAACTGTTTTTCGATTGCTCTAGGATTATGTGGAGCATGAATTTATGAGCATGGGATGGATAATTTAAAACCAAATTAAAAATTAGTATCTGAGGTCCGTGGTCCTAGCCACAAGAGGAATAGGAAGCACACTAGTTAATTTTTGCTCTATGGTTGCCTTGCAGAATCCGTCTGCCCTATTATTTATCCTAAGTGGAATTGAAGCTCTTACATTTAGTTTTGCCCCAATCCTCAATAAATTACTTTATATCAGATTAAATTCTGATTATCACCACATTTCCTATTGAACAGCCCCAAGGCATACACACTAGGAGCTCCTCCATAGGACAAGAGAAACAGCAAATCCAGTGGGGCAGGAAAACCTGCTTTCAATAGGAATAACAAATGTGCAACAAGGAAGGAACAACAAGGCTGGCAGTAACACACAGTGAAGTGCTTCCATCCAATTTGGATTATCCCCTCACCACCAGCCCTTCCTTGTAGGAGACCTTATGAGATGTCCATCCAAATGAACATTAGAAGGATATGGGCATGCAGGCTCCTGCTAGGAAATGCTGTCATGCTTGGGCTGATGACAGGACAATGTCCAGCCCAAAGAGAGGGCAGCAGCAATCAAACCAATGAACATCCCTTGTTTCTCGCAGGGAATATACAGAGTTGAGACTGACCCCTGCTTACATTTCCGTCCATCTACAGCAGGCTACCTCAGTCTGGAGGGTTGATTGCTTTCTCTCAAATGATGCCCCCTTTAAAGTTCTTCACTGAGAATAGAGGCAACTGCTACCACCAGGTAAAGAAGGGCCTGCGGCTCTGGAAGCTTTGTGTATATGATTCACTGGCAGAGCGTTGATGGGAACGAGCAGTCTCTACAATAACCGGAGGCATCTGGACCAAGTTAAGAGGGCTCTTCCCATCTTTCAGGGCCTGCATCAAGTTCAGGATCTAGGAATGGAAGAAAGAAAACTGAACACCAAACTAATGTATAAATGGTAAAAATTGCCCAGTGCCCAACATAAGTTCCATCTCTCCAGTGGGACTAACTACATACCTGACCACGCATTACTGCAATCTGTTTATGAAATTGGCCTCGGTCAAAACCTGGATCTTTCTATAAAAGAAAGAAATAGAATCCCTAATTAGGATGGGTATGGCTGCTCTTAGAGAAAAATGGGTGTCTCCCATAATATTCTGATATTAAATTGCTCTTGTGGTTACCTTGAAGAGTTCATAGAGATCTTCTTCTAGATCCTTGATAAAATTAGGGTCTGAAATCTTTGGCAGGATAAGATCCTTGATCTCTTGAGAGAATGGCACTTTGGCCTGTGGCAGCCATGCCCAATAGAATGGATCTTGTGAAGGAAGAACAAATAGAAGGCAAATATTAGGCTCATAATGCCAGGCTAGCAATAAGGTTAGCACAGATTCAAATACAAAGGAAATACTTCAAGACTTAACAGCCTGGACTTATTAAAGGAACATCAAAAAATTAGCCCTTCACAAACATCCACACTGAGAGAAAAAAATACATACAATGAACTCGTATGGCTTCTCTTATTTGGAATACTTACATGCTCTCCAAGAGTCTGGATGCTTAAGAGGGAAAGCCAAACCATTGTCAATGGCTGCCAGTTTAATTATAGGCTCCTTGACTACAACCCATTCTGAGTCCTACAAGGAAACGGAAAATGTTGCATCAGGAAATGATACAAATTCCAGCAATCATTGTCCATTAGTTGAAGAGATAATGTATAATTCCAGAAGACCCATTGCCCCAAAGCTACCATAATGGAATGCTTACAATAGCAATAGCACTTAGACTAAATACCGCTTTGCAGTGCTTTACAGCCCTCTCTTAAGCGGTTTACAGAGTCAGCATATTGCTCCCAATAATCTGGGTCCACATTTTACTGACCTTAGAAAGATGGACAGCTCAGTCAACTTTGAGCTGGTGAAAATCGAACTGCCAAACTGCTGGCAGTCAACAGAAGTAGTCTGCAATACTGCATTCTAACCACTGCACCACCACAGCTCTTAAACCATGTCAACATAGTTTAAGCTACCTCTGTTTTATATCCTTTCTGCAAAGGTGCAAAGAGAAACCAGGCACTGCTTGGACTACATGGTGTTACAGACATTATTAATGCACTTTCATATGTTGCCCACTATAAAACCAAGATGCCATAAAGTGCTATTGCTGAATTACCTAAGAAGGGTCTAGCAAATCCTAGGTCTCTACATCTATTCCATATACTTAAAGCTAACTCTAATATTTCAATACAGTTCATGTGACATATATTAAGTATTTTTATCATATGTACACCTCTACTATAGAGGATTAATCTGGATCTCTAGTGTTTGAACTTCCCTAGATCTGTTCCATACAGGACATTATATGAAAGTTTCTGAGAGCTCCTTATTTTCTGTACCATAGATTCATATGGAGTTGTCAGAGCCCCACTGGGTCCTACTCACCTGCATACTGGTACTGTCCAGGGGGCAATCACACTTGATCAGCCAGTTGTCATTACCCCTATCTGCAAAGAAACAGAAATGCACAGATGGAAAATAGAGAAATATCTCACCACAGATAACAAACCTCACATCCCAATATTATGGGAGGAAAAATTACTGGAATATGGCATGACTGGAATATGAAATAGGAAGAAGATCCTATGCTTTCTAGCCCAGTAGTCGCTAACCGGTGGGCCGTGGGCCGCTGGTGGTCCATGAGAAAATTTTGGTGGGCCACAGTGCACCCGTGTCTGCAATGGGTGTTACCGGCAGCAGATGGATGGATGCGCGCAGAGAGGTAGGGCAGTGCACGAGAGATCATGGCATCGGAGCCCTTCCCGGGTGTTCCCTGGCCTGCAAGGGGGTGAGGGTGGGGGGAAAGGAACCTCTGATCTGGTGCTGGGTGGTGGGAATCTGATGTCCGAAGGCCGGCGAGCTACGTGCTGAAGACCAGATGGCTGCCGGGGAGGTGGGGCAATCCTGAGGTCTCCTTAGCAAACCCGTGTTGTGGCTGCTGCCTTCTGCCTCCGCGCATCCAGGAGGCTGAGCAGCAGCGGGAAGAGCGCAGATCTCCTGAGCTGCAGGAAGTGGCTGCTGGCAATGCCCTCAGATGAAGATCTTGCGAGGGGGAGGCTCGACCCCCTCTTCCTCCTCGCCAGAAGCGCTCACACGCCCAGCAGGAAGGAGGAGGCTTGGCGGGTGCCAGAGGGGCTGCGAGCACTTTGTGTATGAGCACTTTTGGCAAGGAGGAAGAGAAGCTCCTAAGGGGAGGGGTCGAGCCTCCCCCTCACATCTTCACCTGAGGGCATTGCTGGCAGCTGCTTGACCTCCTTGATACACAGAAGCAGGAGGCAGGAGGTAACACCAGTTCAGAGGTTCCTTCCCCCCCCCCCACCTCGCATGCCAGGGAACACCCGGGAAGGGCTTCGATGCCGCAATCTCCCGCGTGTATCAGTCTATCCGCTGCCAGTATCACCCTTGTTGCCCCACCTCCCCATCAGCCATCTGGTCTTCAGCACGTGGCTCGTTGGCCTCTGGACATTAGATTCTCACCACCCAGCACCAGTTCCTTTCTCCCCACCCCACCCCCGGGGACAGAGGGGAGGGAGAGAGAGAGAGAAAGAGGAAGAAAGAGGGAGGAGGGAAAGAGAGAGGGAGAAAGAGAAAGAGGGAGAAAGAGAGGGGGAGGTAAAGAGAGAGAGAGAGAGGGAGAGAGATCCCGGTGTTTTGTTTTCTGAGGAAAATGGGTCCAAATGACTCTGTGATGACTCAGAGTGTAACACAAATGTAACAAAATCCAAAACGTAAATGTCCTTTATTGCCTCCAACTTGGCCCCACTGTTCAATAATACTCAGTTGGAGATAAAACATACTCCAAAAATAGTCTTCAAAAGAAAGCAATACAGTCCAAATTTAATGAGCAGACAGAGGTGAAATAAAAAACCAAACAAACTACAATGACGAAATGTCCACAATGGAACAGGAGAAGTATTTACCAAATTCAAGGAGATAACAAAGCAGTCTGTTGGAAGGACGCCAACCAAAATAACTTTAGACCAAAATAAAACATGCTTGCTTCTGGCAATCTGTGTTCTAACCGTCTCTCTTATATACTATTCTCCCCAGCTGCCACCAATGAGGGGGATCATGGCCGCTTCCTCTCACGTAAGCCAAGTTGTTTTCTTCTTCGTTCCTCCCTGCGTGTCCTAGGGTGCAGAGGGATGGGCCTGGTTCTTCCTCTGACTGCCCAGTCAGCCTCTGCCCTTCCCCAGCCTCCTCCACAACCTTCGGAGCCACACCTCCACCCCCTGTCAGAGTCTGACTCTACCAAGGGCATGACAGACTCTGAGTATTTAAGGTTGCAGAAACAGGCAGCCAAGCTCAGTGCCTGAAGGACCCCATCCCATTAGTCCAGGCACTTCAGCGAGCAGCGTGCTGGATTCATATTAGTGGTCCACAGGATTTAAAATCATACATTTGGTGGTCCCTGTGGTCCAAAAGGTTGGTGACCCCTGTTCTAGCCCAAAGAACCCAGTTCCAGTCCTTAAGACCTTCAGAAATGGCTGGAAAATAATCTTGTTTGAAATTCTGGGAAGCTGTAACTAGTTCATTTCAGCAATATTGAGACATGTAGAACAATGCCTTGATTTGACCAAAAATTAAACAGGCATAGTGGAGAATGTATACACTGAACAAGCATTTTCAATATGAATAACCTCAATCAGCATTCCATGTCAAGAGCAAAGGCAGAACCTACCAGTATTGCGTATAATATAGTCCAGCACCACCAATCTCTCAAATTGTAGCAACAATTGATGGTTACTCTTTTCTGGAAGAGGCTCAGACTCAAAGCGCCGCAACCAGTAATCTGCATCCTTATAGCCTTCCACAAAAAGCTGGAAGGAACCCACCTGAGAATAAGAAACAAGTACCTTAACAAGAGCAACATACCAAAGAACAATATCCAAACGCCTTACTCTTTTATCAATATCCCCTACCTTTGGTGGAAGACCAATTCGATGAAACCGCTGCCCAACCTTTGGCACTTTTTCCAAGGCGAGACGCTTGCCTCGGGACTTCACTCTGTCAATGGCGCTGTAGTTAAATGTTTCACTGGCCAAGTACACCACCTTGAAGAAGTTATAAGCAGTTCACAATCAGTTTCTCTCTCTTCTATACCAGCCAGTTTCTCATCTATACTAGCCATTCAGTCATCCCCAGGTACAGAACAAAGTCGTAACTGCATAAATCTAAGCATATCCAGGCCTGTCTGTCTAGAACAATTTCTAATCATCTGGTTGAATGTAGAATTTAAATGGCTTGAAAAGCAAATCATAACAACAATGGAGAATAATGAGAAATTAGAGATTAGCGTCAAGTGTACATACTATAACACATATGTTTAGGATAGACCAGATCAAGAAACCAATAGCATATGGGCCTAAATCTTAAAAGTCTGAATGTGCTTCTCCACCCACTCACTTTATTTTGTGTGAATTAAGGAGTCACCTGTTTGAGAAGTTTTCGCAAACTGATTTCAGGAAAGGACTCAAACCCCATTTTCTCAATTGTTACATGTGCTTAACTCTCAAAGTAATCAAAACTATTTTTCTTTTTAAAATAAACCTTAACTACAATCATTCTCACATTACTACCAATTATTTGCTGTCTCCAGTGTCTTTTTTCAGAAGAACAGGAACTTTTTCAAAAGTACCTGTTGTCTCTAACCAAATATAATTGAGATTCATAAATATTTGGACTACGAATAAGTGACCTGAAATTTAAAGGGACAGTGAAGGGAAGAATGTCACTGAAGATGTGACATACTGGTGATCTCAAATACAGCAATGGGGAATCAACCTTTCAGGTATTTTCAAATTGCAGCTTCCATAAGTCTGAATCACAGAGCCACTAGGCAAGCAAGATAGGAATTGAAGTTGCATGTAATCCAAAAACCCCTGGGGTTTTCTGTATCTGGCATATAGGGAAATATGGTCCTATTCCAACCTCATGATCCAGTTTAATCCCATTTGATTATCTCTCTCACCATTGTGCGAGGTACAATGTTCAGTTCCAGCTTTTGGTCAACAAGACTTGCACCAGCTTCAGACAGATATCCTTGGTTGAGAACTAGACAATCTCTTCCAAAACAGCAGGGACAACAAAGTTTTTGCAGCCATTTTGTCCACTTTGGATTCAGATGCCCATAGGGTTCTTCATTCTTCGGTTTGAACACACCAATGATTTTCTGAATGGGACAGAAGAATGGGCATTGCTAATATAGGCCGGATAAAGCAAAAGTAACACAGAAAATTAATCATCCCAGTTTGGTGATAACCCTGTAGCTCCAAGACTTGTGACTAGAGAATATAATTCCTCTCCCCCTCTTTCTTTGTAGGAGATACGGTTTTTTTAAAAAAGAGGCAAAAGCTTTAAGTAGAATATGGAAGTTTAATAACATGTGATGTTGGGTATGGTTTAAGCATGAATAAAATCACAAGATTAAAGTTCAGGCTGTTGAAAACCATGAGTCTGGTCAAAGACATAGTCACGATAATAAAGGGGAAAAAATTAAAATAACCCATAAGAAAATACAGTAAATAATAATATAAGGCTCTGAGCACATCACAAGACAGTATTGATCTCAACTAATAAACAAGTGTGACATAAAAAAATTGTCTGAAATGTTGAGAGGCTGTTTTAAAAGGGCAGTCTATTTCATTTTCTGGCAACGAGAGAGAAGTTTGGGTAATCTGATTTTGTATGTAATCCAAGGAATGCAACTGCAAGTAGCAAGAGTACAGATCTGAGATGTGAGAATACAGCATAAACTAAAACCACAACATCAGATTTTTTTAGAGAATATGGGGTGATACTACAAAAGAAGCAGGGCATTAAAAACAACAAAGCAATCTTTTGTCAAGGGATTTTCACCTCCTCCTGCTCTTTAGCTCTGTGAAGTAGTAGACCAGTAACTCCAGTAGATGAACACAGATCAGGATAAAACCAATTTAGACACTTGTCATCTCATGACTTCCCAAATTTATGAAGTCTTCCAGAATGCTAATATAAAAAGAAGCATTCTGAGTATGTTTGCCAGAGGAAGGGGGAACCTAGACTTAAATAGTAAGTGATTTTATTTTCATAAAAGACTTCTGTTTTATAAAAAGCTCATTGGGTCTCATGATTTGTTGAACCCCTGAAAAATGTACAGATAATTTTGCTAAACCTTGGATATAGAGCATAGTCATTAAGGCTTCAACCCAGTAGTTCTTCAGCCTTTTTATTCCCATTTCTGTGACTAAACAGCAGAAACAATTTACAAATAAAATGCAGGGGAGAAAATACAGGATAAGCTGTCTGATTTACCTGACTTATATATACTAGTAATAATGAATGTTAGCACAACACATTTTGTCCATCAGATACAATCAATGCTTTTATCAAAACGAGAGCAAAACATTTAAGATGGGAACATCACTGCTATCACAAAACCTCTTTAAGGAATATTTTTATGTAGAAACTTAATTCAAATAGGTTCCCAAGAACCTTATACTGAAACATAAGACTTCAGCATTCAGGTGGAATATATTCTGAAAACTTTTACCAAAATTACCATGTTTCCTCGAAAATAAGACCTACCAGTAGTCCTTTCCTTGCACTACCGGTATCTGATCTGGCTGTCTCTGAAATACAACTTCTTTACCGGCAGAAGCATTTCTGATAAAACTGGACTTTCCATATTGTCAATTCAGTGTTAGATACTAGCTAAATCACTTCTAATCAAGTAGAAAAGCATATTCCTAAACCAATCTTTCCCAATCTAGCAATGATACTATGAAAAGTCTGTGTGTTTAGTTGGATTGACTTAATCATTGCCCCAAAGGGTCAACTCCCTATAGGTTTCTATGTCTGAATGTTTTTAATCCTAAACTATTGTTATTATATTTGTACAAGTCCCATTTCTTCCAGCCAACATAACTTACTGATCATTCTGTGGAGATTATGGTAGTTGTAGTTCAGCGTATTTGAGGGCATCAGATTTGGAAGTCTGCCCTCAGCTGGATGTAATCAAATAGGAGAACCAGTTTGGTGTAGCGGTTAAAATTTTGGCCAGGAGACTTTGAGTTCTAGATCTAGATCTCCCTTAGGCATGAAAGCCAGCTGGATGCCTTTAGGCCAGTCTCGCTTTCCCAGCACAATCCACCACACAGATTTTTTTGTTATGGGGAAATAGGAGGCAGGAGTATTAGGCATGTTCACTGCCTTGAGTAATATATATAAAAGGTAGGATAAAAATATAATAACAATAGTTTAGGATTAAAAACATTCAGACATAGAAACCTATAGGGAGTTGCCCCTTTGGGGCAATGATTAAGTCAATCCAACTAAACACACAGACTTTTCATTGTGAAGATAAAAAAGGAAAAGAAAATAATATGTATGACATTCTAAAATTTGGGGGAAAAGATAGAACACACAACTAATAAATAAGTAAATAAATAATACAACAACATAGCTGTAGTCCCACACACGCAGCAAACAACCAAATTCCACAGCAAACTCTTACAAGTTTTCACTGACCCAACTCTAATCTTACAAGCCTAACTGATAACCCTGATACCAAGTCCTAAACTCCAAGACTTAATTCCTTTATAGTGATATATAGTAAATCAACACATGATTTATCTCAGCTGCATCTCATAAATCTAACAAGAAAAGAAATTAATTTAAATAGAAAATAAGAGCCTGGATTCCTAGAAATGAAAAGATTTTTTAATGCTATATGATTTCATGCAGTTGGGTACGCAGAATAAAGGAGCCAAATTAATTTAGTTAGATATAATAGGCTACAAACACAGTCAGCTCTGTACAAATATGGGAAAGTACTGCTGCTGACCGAAAATTCATCATCCCATTCTCCATGTGATCTATTGGTCCTCTTATTTCAATATATTATGAGACAGCATCTAAAACTGAACTATAGACTGAAATGCTCAGTTTCTTAAAGGGGAGAAATAGCAATACAAACAGCAGCAGCAACCACCACCAAAGCCTCAAAGATGTTCTAAACTAAAAAAAATTTATGTGAGCTTCAACCTGAGAATTGGAGAAAATTTAGTTGCAAGTACATAAGCACAAATAGAGACAAATCTTGTCTTCATGTAACCTTTACGCAAATCGATTTTAAACTTTGAGTGATGCCAATTCCAGTGACACCTTGGGGAATTATTCTCCTGCCAAGGACTCTTATAGCAGTAAAATAACAAAAAATATGCTTATTGTCTTCTCTAAAGCTTTTGAAAGAATGTATGTATCATTGTCCATATACATGAAATTTTATAGAGCAGTAAGATGAGAAGCTCCCTGCCTCCAAACAAGCTTACACTCTAAAATAGCTACAAAAGGATCGACGTATTATTTTCATAGAATTTGAACCCCTTTTCTAAAAAGCTGGGTTTCAAAAGAAAAGAAAAAGGTTGTAGTTTAATTGCCATCAATGACCAATGGGGAAAAATCAATATTGATTATTTTCAATACTGTATGTAGAATTAACCCAAATCAAATTTTGAAGATTTGATTTGCTTTGTTCAAAAGATCAGAAAATTTAAGAAAGAAGGAGTTGTTCTCAGGGCTAGTAGTTATTTGCCTCCAGAGCAATGTTTTGCTATAAGGCAGCCATTAAATTTATAAGAATCTAAAATAGTTCAAAGGAGTGTCCCCGGACTATATTCCTACTGACTGACTAACATTCAAATTGATCATCTTCATGTGTGACTACAGGACAATTAGAAAGCTTCCACTCCCGATCCAACTTAAACACTTAAGTATAAGAAATTAAATAATACCACTTTATAATGCCTTGGTAAGACCATACTCTGAATACTGCATCCAGCTTTGATCGCCATGATATAAAACATTTGTTGAGCCTCTAGAAAGAATGTAGAGAACAGCAACAAAGATAATTAGGAGATTGGAGGCTAAAACATATAAAAATGGTTGCTGGAATTGTCTAGTATGTCAAGTTTAATGAAAAGAAGGGTCACAGGATAGCAGTGTTCCAATATCTAAGGGGCTGACACAAAAAAGAAGAGTCAAGCTATTCTCCAAGGCACCTGAAGGCAGGACAACAAGCAGCGGATGGAAATTAATCAAAGGGAGATCCAACCTAGAACTAAGGAGGAATTTCATGATAGAACAATTAATCCCTTTTCTCCAGAAGTTGTGAATGCTCCAACACTGGAAGTTTTTAAGAAGAGATTGGCCAACCATTTGTCTGAAATGGTTTTCCTGCCTGAACAGGGGTTTGGACTAAAAGACCTCCAAGGTCCCTTCCAACCCTATTATTCTGTTAACTGATCATGTCAACCAAAAATATGCATTAGCATTCAAATACCCTTTTTCCTAAATTAACTGTTTTATTACATTATAAAATGTGTATAATATATATTGAATAAAGATGATAGTGAACTACAGTGGTGTTTATGCAATAAAAACTAGAAATTGTCAACACTATGTAAACTAAACCTTTAAAGATGAGGGGAAATGTTAAAATGTTAAAATTAATTTCAATGTTAAAAATAATTTCTAAATTGTTAATCAACATAGGGCTCAAAACTGTTCAAAAGACATCTCACCCTGATAACCAAAAATGTACATCACCAAACTTTTAATATTATTGATTGTAAATTCATTGGTACCTCAGCATAGTTCAGAGGGTTTCTGGGCCAAGCAGAAACGATGTCACTATGCAACAAAGTTATTTCACTAAACATCATTATTATTGTTCCTAAATATGGTCTTATTAATTTAATAAAATCTTCCATAATGACAAAGGCATATCATGTGTCATTTTTTAATGCGTCAGAAGAAAAATTCCAGTACTATAACGTATTTTGAAGACCTAGCTTAGAAGGTAAAAGTGAGCAAAAGTCAATACAGAATTGGGGAGGGGGGCGCAAGGGACCGACAAAGGCAGCAACTGCAAATGTTCCGCAGCTCTTGCATCCTCTCTCCCGCCCTTCCGATACTTTAAAAATGCATCCATCCACACGTCCTGTTCTTTTTCCCCTTGTCCCGTGATCTGAATACTTTTCCCGAGCCCCGATCTCTCACCCCCTGGGGATCCTTGACGAAATAGCTGCCGCTAGAACCTTGGTAGATGCGCTCAGGGTAAATTCCGCGTTCGCTCGCCAGCTCTGCCAGTCGCACCACCTCGGCGAATTCTGGGTCATCGGGAAATTCATTCCGGTGCTCCCGTTCACCTCGACCCGCGGCGATCCCTACTCCGACCCCCACTTGAGCCTGAGTCTGGGTCGCCCCGGCTGTTGGTACAGTCCCCCGCGTGGCTCCACGCTCCGCACCACCACCCCGATCCAATAGTGGCTGGCGCTCCCGGTCGCGGCCACCTGCGGGAGATCCCGGTGGGGAGGGACAGGGACAGGGTCCAGCGGGAGTAGTCGGGGCAGCGGGGCAGGGCGGGGAGCGCACGGCACCCCCAGGCAGCCCATACCCCGGGGCCGGACCGCGCTCTGGAGATACCAGCGGGCTCGTTTCATCCATAGGCCGAGCCGGTCCGAGGCGCTGATCTAACCCCGGATGGGCGCTTGCACGCATAAACTACGGCCCCGCGGTCTCAGACTCAACGCCGCTCAGTTCGGATCACCTGACGCCGGCCCGCGGCCACTGCCGTTTCCGCCAGAGTAGCATCAGCGAATCACAGTGCGACCATGCCCCCCGTTTACAGAGTGCCCGGAAGCCACGCCTATTAGAGAGCCCATCGTCCATTCGCAAAGCTTGTCCCGCCCAGTGCACGCCCCCTCGTTATGTAGAGTTCCGCCTCCCCTTTCCGAGCTAAGTCATGCCTTTTGAATGGAGCATAGATATAGATGCTTTCCTTACTTTTCAACCCGCGCTTCTTTTTTTTCCCACTCGGCCCCTATTGTCACAATTCCGTTTCTTGAGCAGAGCGCCGCCCGCATTCTGTATTACATGTACATTTTACTGTATATCGTATCGCCTCCTGATTATGCTGAAGACATTTTATGTCACCTAGCGCTCTGTTGCTAAATCACACCTACGTATTCTGCCTTGATTGCAATGACCATTTGTCAATGTGCTACACAATTCTTTTCGCGATGTCAATGTACAGTAATATATCACGTACGTATAACACCGCTGTGGAATGTCATAGGATCTTACTGTAAACCCTTTCATAAAAATTATATATCCTACTGTCCGAGTTGAAGAAAGGCTGTCATTGCAATTGTACTGGACTGACTACGTGGTTCTTAAAGGACTTAAAACTTGTAACGGGAAATAACAAATTATCCCATAGCCTTTAATCGCAATAATCTGCCTCTAAAGACTCCTTTTTTTAAGGAAATAGGTGGGTACCCTCTGAATATTTATGATCTCGTTGGTTTCCAAGAATTTTCTACACGCTCCCATTCACTTTCATCATGGGAATCAGGCAACACTGTTACTGAATGATGGAGTCACCAGACCGTTTTCTTGATTTGTCTTCCTCCTACCCAAGAGTTAGTTTGGTGTAGTGCTGAAGGTGCTGGCATCGAAACCAGGCCACTGTGAATTCTAGTTCCACTTTAAAGCATGAAAGCACTAGGTGACTTTAGGCCAGTCACACTCTCTCAGCAGAACCCAGGGTTGTTGTTGTCGGGATAATAGGAGGAAGAAGGAGTATTATGTATGCTTACTACCCTGAATTACTCATAAAGTATAAAGGCAGGATAAAAATCTAGTAAATAAATCCTGTTAGAACTCGTCTGTTTTAATTATCCGTTCCCCTGGTTGTTTTGTTTCAGTTATTCTATTGTGGAGAAATTGACAGAATTTGTATTTCTGGCTGTTCTGAGATAAAAATGTTGGAGAACAATCGCAACTCCTACATTCCCAACTCCATTTCAACTCATTTCAGGACGGCACGCGCACTTGGCAATCATTGCCTTCCTCGCTCCACGCCAACACTGTGTTGCAAATGCTGTACTTTCCCTCTTCAAAGTGACAGTTCCTATTTAAAGAGGGGGAGGGGAGAATGTTTTGCTTAAGCTATTAAAAACTTGAAAAGTGAACCCCCCTTCCCACTTCCTTAACAGCCTGAGTGTGCTTCTCAGAAATCACCAGCTATTGGACATTAAATATTAAATAACAATAACAAACATTAAATAACAATAATATGTTGTTATTAATAACAATAATATGTTGTTAACAATAATATGTTTTATTCTTTTTATTCAGAACTGCTTAGCACAAGGATTGCATAATATATTGAATATAATGAAACCTTCTTCTGGCAAACATTTTTATTTCTCAAGTGCTTGCGTGTCACCAAAACTGTTACTATCAATGCAATTCACAGTAATATTTATTCCAATGCATGCTGGCTGTGTTATGTCTGAAATATTTATGGAATAATCATAGGGATATGATATATAGGTCCATTATCCACTGAAAAAAATATTGAACTGCTATTGTAGTACTCAAGTTTACATTTTTAAAACTAGATTCTTCCTTTTACCTGTTCATTAGAATTTCTTGATTCAAGCAATACATAGGGAATCATTTAATTTATTTGGTTTTGCATTAGCATACTCTAGTTTTTAAACTGTAGTTTATGGTTCAATGCATTGTATTGCAGTTAAATATGATTTATTTACTAAAGCATAGTTAAACAAATGATTACTATCCAATTAAATTTCACTTAGCTATCATAGAATAAAAATATGAGGGATCTCATATAATACAAAAAAATAAAATTTTCACACTGAAGAAAAATATAAACTGCCAGATCAGTTTATATTACAAATTGTTTTAACCAACTCTTACTAAAATATCAGTTATGATACCTTATGTGGGACACATAACTAAGAAAGAGAAAAAGAAATATTGCAGTTATTGGTGTTTTTAATGAATGTGTAGCTTGACCTGCAGGAATCTTATAGTGATTCAGTACCTTTTTAATATATTCATGATTTATTTGGAATTAGGAATGAGAATTGACATGTCCATGTTTTCAAATGATTTTACATGATTTACATTAATCAAGAGTAATTTATTTCCAAAAGTTTTTAGGGAATAGGAAAATGGTGCCTTTGAGGCTAGATTATTATTTATTATTATAGACAATGTAATTTCTCTTATTTAAATTCTGTTTTTCTGTTATATGGTCAATCACGCTTTCTAGCTCCCATCAGTTGACAATATTTTAGAGGAAGAATTAGGAGCATGCCACACTATCTGACCTAACAGGATGAGCCATGGTGGCGCAGTGGTTGGAATGTAGTATTGCAGACTACTTCTGCTGACTGCTAGCTGACTGCAATTTGGCAGTTTGAATCTCACCAGCCTCAAGGTTGACTCAGCCTTCCATCCTTCTGAGGCCGGTAAAATGAGGACCTAGATAATTGGGGGCAGTATGCTGACTCACTCTGTAAACCACTTAGAGAGGGCTGTAAAGCACTGTGAAGCAGTCTAAGTGCTACTGCTATTGCTCTGAGTAAATGTTGTTAGGAAAAAGCAGTCCCACAGATTACCTGGGTTAATTCTGATGACCACCACCTTGAGTTGCTCCTGCAAGGAAACTGAAACAGTGCAGTTCACACAATATGAGAAAACCTAGGGACCCCATTACTGTGCATGCTCTGCGTTCTCAACCAGTTGAAGTTTCCTGGTGGACTTTGAGGGCAGGTTCATTTAAAGTACATTGTAATAATCCAAACAGGCAGTGACCAAGACATGAGTGTCTGTGAGCAAGATCAGGAAAGGGAGCAATTGGCAACTAGACAAATCTGTGCAAAGGACCCCTAGCCACACTGCCACCTGCTCCTTGAGCAAAAATTGTGAGTTCAGGATGAACACCCCAACCCCAAATTGTGTACCAGCTCAGTTTTGGCAGAATGCCACTCCATCCAGAGTCAAAGATGAAGTAACATTTAGGCCTGGGGAGGTGGCAGAAACCCATAGCCACTCATCTTGCCAGGATTGAACTGAAGCCAGTATCTCCCCATCCCAGAGATATATAATTATTATTAGCATACTAATGATACTAAATTCCACACCAACAAATGTCAGAAAACCTAGCAGCTTCATGCAGCTGTTAAAAGGGAGTGGTGAAAGGCTCCAGCACTGGAACTCCACATCGGAGGGGCTAAAGGCAGGGGTGGGTTTCTACTGGTTCTGTCCACCTCTGTAGAACCGGTAGCTCTGAAGAGCAGCAGACAGAACCGGTTCTATGTCTGCTGATGTTTTTGCCCACCCACCCACCCAGGCTCTTACCTGATCTTTATTTCCTGATTTTTCAACTTCAGCAGCTGAATGAGGCACAGCTGCAGTTTAAAAAGCAGGAAAAGAGGGCTGTTTCAAAGGCTGCTTCTCTGCATGCAGCGTACTGATGATGATTTACAGGCGCACGGCTCATAGCGTGCAGGGAAACACATCATAAATCACCGAACCTCGTAAATCCCGAACCAGTAGTTATCCCACCCCTGGCTAGAGGGCTTAACTTTTCAACTACCCATACTACCAACACTGAATGGAACAGGCTATGGAAGAAGAAGCACCATAACCCAGTGCCTCTCATTCTTAAGCCTTAAAGCCAGTCCAGGAGACTGTGGTTAATGGTATTGAATGGCCAGAGAGGCCCAGGAAGGCCAGAATGTTCGTATTAGCTCCATCTCATGTTCTCCAAAGGTAAGGTAAAAACACATATTTAAGTCAGTAAAGCAGAAATCTTCTGATATTTGCCTAGCCTCTATGCTAAAATATCTTTGGTTTTCCAGTCATAATCTATATACTAGATAGTAAAACTCTTGTGTTTGTGTGTAACCTTTAACTGGGTGAAACAATGCATCATTGGGCAACAATTTTTAAACCAAGGTACCTCAAACGGGCTAACTTACAGAACATGTCCAAAATCCAAAATCTGTGACACCCATGGAATTGAAATTTGACAAATTCTATAAATACTTTGTAACATAAAAATTATCATAAAACATGACATAATATAAAATGTCATAAAACATTTCCTGCGGTCATCTATTCATGTTCGATTATGCTGTAGAGTTCAACTTGGCTATTTTCATGGCACATCTCGTTCCCTCCCTTTTCCAATTAAGGCAGTATATTAGAAGCTTGTTTATTGTTAAAGGCGATGAGGATAAAGAAATATCTGAAAAGATGACCAAATGAGTCACAGTTGTTTAGTATAACTTATCTAACATCATTTCATTTTGTTTTGTTCAGGTGACTGTTGTGACCAGCTGCCATGTCATAAGTTAAAATAAGTCAGAATATCTTTTTGTTTTGTCTATTTTCAGTTAGTTTGAATGTTTCTGGCAGTCAAAAGGGTCATATTCAATGCATGACTTATATCCTCCAGGTTCCTTGAAATTGGTAGCCTTTTTAAAATTGGTTTTGTCTAAATCTCTTAACACATGAAGGGATTTTGAAACTGCCCAGAGGCCTTAAGATTTAGGGCATTATACACAAGCTTAATAAATTGTAGCTATTATTATTAATGGAATTGCTTCAAACATCCCTGGAGTTGAAATGAAATATTCATTTCCTTGTTGTGGATTTGCTATCAATTTTTGGGAGGGGTGTAAGATTTCAGCAAAACAGTTTAAAGACAACTTCAATGCATAAATATCATT